CTTTGGAGATTTACTTACCTGGATGATTGAGCATGCATCAAGATAATTTGTGTAATAGTTTGAACCAAATATTAAAAATATGGATTCATCACTCCACTAGCCCACTGACTGCGTTACCCCTGAATGTGTGGTTTGTTATCTAATTGTGAAACAGCTGGTTGATCCTGGTTGTTCCTACGGGTCACTTAAGCAAAGTAGTGCCGTGTAGTAGCTATTTGTAGCTGTGCCCATAGAGGGATGTTCTTACAAAAACACTTTCCAAAGAGCCCACATGCTGCCACCCACTGGACTCCTGGTGACCACTTGACTGTTTCCATCTATTTTAAGATGTGACTAATTACAAACAGAACTGGAGTACATAATATGTCCACTAAAGTGTTTTTGCATAACTTAACTAACATGCCATTTTAAGCCTTAGTGTGTTATTCGGCTAGGCTAGGTTCTTAGCAACTCAGGACTATAGTAAATGCTAACTAAATCATATTTTTAATGTTTCTCAAACTTTTAATAATGTTCTGGTGATAAAAATGATAGAATTACTGTTGGTGATCCCTAAGCCTGGCCACACTGTTACAGAAGCTTATCTGTTTGGCTTATTGCCATAGTAACTTTAAGGGCACTATATCTGATTTAGTTACCAGCACTACTTTCCTTGATAGATGTTATTACCTGGTTATAGGTCAATCAATGGTATTCTGCACTCTCATTGGTAGTCACTTCAATTATTTAACCATTAGTTAGTTATTATTAACCTCTGGTTCTCTTCCACAGTGTGTCTTTTGTCTTTTTCCTTCCCACTGTCACCACATGCTTGTTCAAAGGGGTTCATATGATTGTTGGGTTTTTCTCTGTATTATTGTAAGACCTTTACCTTATAATACAAAGCACCTGTTGTTGTGATTTGACTGCTGCTGTTATAAATACATACGTTTTTTTCAATGGACAAATTGTCAAGTGGAAAACTCTCTTGAAAAAAGAAATGGCCTGCTGTTGGCTGTGGTCACCAGAGGAATACAAAAGAGGAACAGAGCACATTCTCACATACATAAATCTTCCTTTTAAAAAAACAAAACAAAAAAAAACAAATGTCGTTGTCTAAATTCAAACCAAAACTGCTGAATCACTTAGTGCTGCTCAAATCTGGTCTGAGCAGCATTAAGTGGATCATTTCAAGTCGTCTGGTGAGTCAGTGACATCCAACCCAAAATGGAGCATCACATGGTAATGATGTCAGGTCAACATCTGGCTGGTGTTGAAGAAAAGAAAGAAGTGATAGATGATCAATGTTAAATTGTGTTGTAATAACTGCATTTTCTGCAGCCATGTGTAATTTTTTTAAAGTAGACTCTTGGATGCGTAAATAACAGGAAGTGCACCGCGCAATATCTGTGTCTAAACTCTGAGCACGTTCTGTTCCTCTTTCTCAACATACCTTTATTTTTATTTTACCCTTTCATATCAGAGAAGACACCAATGAAATAAATAGCATTAATGAGTCACTTTTATTTAATGTCCCAGTAAGCGATGAAGCTTTTCCTGCCTTGACATGTCAGAACAGCTGCTATGAAAAGGCTGTTTGTGTTTAGATGCACATTTATTAATACACATTTTCAGTTCATACATGGAATGAAGATCAGCCAAAGCATCAGATCCATATGGAGCAACAAAGAAACTGTGACCTTTCTCATGTCAGAGAAACTAAACTGGACAGGACAGTTAGTGCCACCTGCTGCTTGTCTCAAGGAAACAGCTGGTGTCAACACGAAGGCAAAGAAAAAGGTTTTAATGAGCTCATTTCTTTCATTTCTCAATAGATGAGATACATTTATAAATCATAAATTAACTGCAAGGCTTTGAAATTTCACATATTTACAGATCCTAAGTCACAAGTAATTTTTGCATTTGTATAAATGTACAACCTGGTTTTGCTTGTTCACAGGCTGCAGTGCAGGAGGGGCACAGTAAGTGTTGGTTTTTGATCACTGTGGGGTGCACACAGCTGGTATTTTTGAATCTACTCAAGCATGAGCGACATTGCTTTTTGTCTCCTACATGGCAGCAGGTGCTTTGACACCTCTGAATGTGAGTGGGGCAGGTTTGAGGGGATCCGTCAGGCAGCAGGTTTACACCCGCGTCCGGGAGCAGCCCTCGGGCCACATTTGCACCCTTCTCACAAACAGAGTCACTGAGGGCTTCCACTACAAACTACTGCAAACACCCTACCCCCACTCCTCCAAAGAACAAAAAACTCAAAGTCAAGTGTCATTGCGATGTGTCGCTTCCTGTTATCCTGATCTGAGAAGGTGTCGGTTGCTAGTAACTAACTAAAGTTGCTGTTTTGCTAAATTATAATTGCAAAGATGCTCGGCTCGGACCCCAGAGATTTTACCTACAGGAAAAATCACCAACATAAACTATTGATTAATCATGTTTTGTTAATTGGGGTACTATTTACTAAATGTTTATCAAAAAAGGCTAATTTGCATCATATAATATGGACTGATCTTGGATAAACATGCAGCGAACCAACAGAGACTCATAGTCCATAACCAGGAATAGTCCTAACCTTTGTGCTGTTTGTGCTTCCAGCTTACATCATGACGTTGTATTTACACTAATATTCTGATGGATTTGAATACTGCACCTTTCATAAGTAGGCCCAGACTACTTCACCCACCAGGGAGTCAAATTTGTTCACGGTGCCCCAAATTAACACTTTATATTGTAAAATGAACAATATGTGTTTGATTAATAGTCTATATTTGCCTTATCTGACTTAAAAGCTCCCTCTTATCTCATCACCACCACCATCACACTGGGATTCCCCTGGAAATGTCTCAGAGTAAGCCTACTGAACCTCTTCAGTAGAGGCACTTCATGTTTCTAACAAGTTTTATGAAGCCTGTGTCGCCTCAGGTCTGACCTCGCTAGAAAAATTTGGACTTTCAGGCACAATATCCCATTGCCTGTTAGTATCACATTAGCAACTCTTTGCTACATTCAGAACGTACTCTACACCCAGCTGGTAAACACTAATATGCATTCATAATCAACTGACAGTTCATACTACATACTACAGTTGTAGGTGAAGACACTGGTTTCTCTTTAAGACATTCTGTTCAGCCTGTAGTAGTGTCAGATTTTATACACAGGTTGTTTTCATGTAAGATCTAAACCTGGAAGGTAACAAGTATCGTACGACTTCCAGGACTCTGATTATAAATATCAAAAACCATATACTGATTTAAATTTGATATCTCCCTTTCCAGGTTGGCTCCTTGTGCATCTCTTGACCACTTTCATTTTAGCTGCACTCGTGGGCTTCAAACTTGCGCAGCATGGAAACATGGGTTTCTTTTGCAAACTGACCCAGTTCAGTGTGGAGGAGCATCACTGGTAATGAGACTGAGATCTCTGGCTTGAATCCTGAAAACTAAAAAGTCTGCAGTGGCCAGAAGGAAGCAGAACAAGTCAGAAGCATGACTGGGAGCATATAGGGAGAGATGATCAGTGTGAGATTCTACTACTGTATGATCCTGAAGCACCTACAGCAGAACGCTGTGAATTTTATGGTCCTCCAATAATAATAATGTAAGATAAATGTGAAATCATTAAAGCAGTAGATTAGTGAAAGCATTACATTCCTTCACACAAAGCAACAAAACACAGAAACACAGCATGTTTCCTGTGTCAACAGCAGGTACCTATTATCCATTATATAATCATACAGTATGATTGTCACCAGATTGGTTCATATTTTTTCTACAAACACAGGAAGACGCTCCTGGTTTTGAATGCAAAACCCAATCAAATCTGTGTTTCCTCCCTTGAGATGCTCTGGCAGGCCTTTACTGCTTCTCTGTCTGCTTGTTTGAAGGTTTTGTTCTTAATCAAGGGAGAAATTCTCCAATCATCCCCTTTAGCTGTCTTCTGTGCTCTTTCGCACCTTTTGGAGTTGCTGAGTTAGCCTGTTCAGAATCAGAGTCAGAAATATTTTGTTAATCCCAGAGGAAACAGCATGGTCACAGTTGTTCCACAACAGTAAGAAGAGTAAGAAATATTATTTGCAATAGTGATAAGTTAAAGTATCAATATTATATATAATACATTATACTATAGAATAGCTTTAATGTCTCTAATGTCTCTAAATCTCTGCCTAAATAAATAAATAAATCTGGGTAAATTCCCAGATGATTCCAGATGACCCCCCTTACCCCCCTGGAAATTACACCCCTGGCATTGATACTCCAATCAATACTCTAAAATCAAGTTCAATATATAGCCCACTGAATTTTGTAAATAATTAATTTTTGGGGTAAATTAAAAAATACAAATCAAACACACACTATGAAATTTGTGTGCTGTAACATCTACTAAAAAAAATCTCTCTTTCGATCTAACAAATTATTGTAGAAATAACTGTAGAATGAGTAATCACAGTGATTTAGTGGTCATTAAATTGTGTTCAGAATTTAAAAATACTGATTTATATTTATATTTATCCGGTCTACATAAGCTGCCTTTCTAAGTTAAAAGTATTGGTATTGTTATTGCCAATACTAGCCCTGTAGTTACTTGGTATTGGATCGATTCTAACCTCTGTAGTATCGCACAGCACTACCGACTGCTCTCCCAGCTTTAATGAAACTTTGAAGTGTATCATAAACAGGAAAATGATATTAGCCTTCAGAATAAAAGTTGTGCCTAACTCCTGCACCTAACAAATTTCCAACAGGTGCGACTTTTACTTTGAAGGACAACTTTAATGGTTTCTCGTTTGCGGGCACTCTTCACAGTTTCCCTCAGGGAGAAGCGAGTCGCTCTTTACTCACAAAATATGAACTCAAAGTTCACCACCCAGTGTTTAATGGTACATTCATTATACCCGCGCAAACTCCCCTCCTCTGACCTCCGTTGCGACTCAGGAAAGTCACGTGTCGATGACGTGTACGTAAACAAAGGCTGAACCAATCACAGTCGGTGAACTCCGGCAGCTGACAGTTACTTCCGCTAGTGTCACGGAGTTGTGTTGTCAAAATGGGACACGACAACCACCACCACCACTTATCTCTGTGTTTTTGCGATTTAATGAGGTATGTGTTGCTTTATTTGCAGTTCAGTGATAAAATGGTGTACAAAGAGCTGGTGCTAACCCCCCCAAACAAACAGGAAAAGTATTGTTGAGACACGCGACAAGCTAACTTTTGCTTAACTAGCAGCTAGCTGACTTATCATTAGCCTAATCAACAGTAATAACAGATTTACTGTCGCCTGTCCGGTTGTAACGATAGTAACAGATTAATAATTATCTTGAGTAGAGCTTGTTTTTAGTGTCACACATTGCCAGTCCTCTTTTTTCCGTCCCTCCGCAGGCTGCTGTGGTCGCTGCTGGTGCCATGCCTCTACCTGAGCCTGATCCTGACCCTCGTCCTCCTTCTGCTCCTTTTGGGGGTCCGCATGTGGCTGCAAGGGCGCCGCAAGGCCCGTCGGGCTCAGGATGATGGCCCGGCGGTGGCTTTCTTCCACCCCTACTGTAACGCGGGAGGAGGCGGGGAGCGGGTCCTCTGGTGCTCCCTGAGGGCCCTCATGCACCGGTAAAATATTTAAAAATAATTTTAAGGGAAAGTATGTTTCATGTTTGTTGTTGTTTGTAGGTTGGCGAGGAAGTCACTTCTCTTCCAGCTCTGTCCTTGATTTCACAGCTATGTTTGGTTGAAACTACCTCTACTATTGTCTCCAAGACCCACAGACCATCTAGTGAGACCATTAGATCAGCTTCTTTGCTCTCTAGCAAATAGTATAGTACAAGTGACTGCTTTTAAAAACATAAGCTGACCCTCAGACCACAGAGATAAACCCTAAGTTTAAACACTAATGTAGAGTTTCTGCCTTTATCCCAGATATCCCGGCGTCTCCTTTGTGGTTTATACGGGTGACCAGGGAGTGACGGGTGAGCAGATTCTGGAGGGAGCCCGGCAGCGATTCCACATCACGCTGCCTCGATCAGTCACCTTTGTCTTCCTGCGTCACCATGTACTCGTGGAGGCCAGCTCTTACCCTCACTTCACCCTGCTGGGTCAGAGCGCAGGCTCAATGTTCCTGGGTAAGATCTGGGCTAAAATGGAGAGACTAAATAAATTCAAGTACTTATTTATATTACAGTAAGATTTTTTTTCTTTGATTTAATATATGGGAACAAGATGATGTATATTTCTAACATTTTCTTTGTAGTCTCCACCCTATTTTGCTAACGTTTCTGCAAACATGAAACACATGATGTGTATGTGATTCCTTCATATAGATGTGATCCAGTGCTGTGGATCATATGTCTTTAATTTTACTGAATTTATTCTTTTCTGTGGGATCAACAGGTTTGTAAGTTGAAGTGACGCAGTGTGTGTGTGTGTGTGTGTGTGTGTGTGTGTGTGTGTGTGTGTGTGTGTGTGTTTTTTAGGGTGGGAGGCACTGACGGCCTTCGTTCCTGACCTGTATGTGGACTCGATGGGCTACGCCTTCACCTTGCCGATCTTCCGCTACCTGGGAGGCTGTAAAGTGGCAAGCTACGTTCACTATCCCACTGTCAGCACCGACATGCTGTCTGTGGTCAGAGAAAGGAACCCAGGGTAAAACTGCATTTAGACACAGCTCCATTTAATCCAGAGCTTCCCAAAGTATTAGCGCCCACACAAAGGCAAAGCAGGAGATGAAGCATAGCTGAATGTGTTTCCAAACCACCTTCATTCTAAGCCAAAGACTAGAAAATATGGTGAAGCATGTCTGCCCTTTGGTTTCACCTGCACAAGTGCCGAGGTAGGTCTCCCTGCAGAATTGGTTTTCCCTTCGTCGGGAGCAGCGCTGCGCTCTTCAAATCACGGACAAACAGTATTCCACATTCTTGATTTTTAGTTCACAAACACTTGTTGTAATGACTAACTACTCCTGACATTTTGGAGATGTTAGCTCTGTATACAGTAAAGTTACAGTGGGATACAAATAACATCAGGCTGATCCTGCCACGATTTCTTTCCCCGGTTCAAACAGTATCCCACAGCTGTTGATGTTTTTAAACCCATTTTGCACAGAGAGGCATTTTTTGAGAAGTGTATTGATAGCAATGTTGAATATTATTACACAGGAACTAAAAACAACTACACGTAAAATAATCACACCGTGACGCCTCTGCCTTTCTAAATGGAGGGACAGTAACTGCGTGTGTGTATGTAAGCGTGTAAAACCTGCAGATAGTCAGATTAACATTTTGTCTCTATCTGCCATTCTGCAATTCATCTCATGTAAGCAATAACGTGGCGCACAGCGTGACGTGAAAAAAGGCACATACCTTTGACGTTGCGTGAGGAACTCAGTATTCCTTGTCCACACTAAACGCAAAAAGGGAGTTTTGAAAAAAATCGCAGTTTTCAGTGATTCGAAACGCTGTTTACGTTTGGACGGAACAGCTGCGTTTTCACAAATACCCGTGTAGGTGTGGACGTAGCATAAAAGAGTTAGTAGTTTATTTCATTGCTACCTGTAATTTGAGTGGTACTCATGGACAGAAAGAGTAATTGAAAAAAAATCATCCAGCCTTTCTGTAAAATGAAAACAGAGAATTGCTACGTACACGATGTGTTCAGTGTGGAGTGTGTTACTAGATTTGCCCTAAGCTATTCAGTTGTGCTGTATGAAAGCGTCCCAGGCATTTGAGGCTAATCCAATCCTGACCTGTAAATGTTCTGTTGTGTGATTACTCTTGCCCAAAAAAAACAAAAACCTTACCTTTCATCTTCGTCTTTATATTTCAGATTCAACAATGCTGATTTCATCTCAAGAAACCCAATCCTGAGTGCATTGAAGGTGGTGTACTACTGCTGCTTTGCTCTGCTGTACGGCCTGGCCGGCTCCTGCAGTGACGTCATTATGGTGAACTCCACCTGGACGCTGGGACACATCCTCGCTCTGTGGCGCTCTCCGAGCCGCACCAGCATCGTCTACCCTCCCTGTGACATCAGGGCCTTCCTAGATGTCCCGCTGGAGGACGAGGACGAGATGGAGGGCTGGGAGGAGCTTGGAAGAGAAGAAGAGGACGGCGGCAGAGGGGACAGGAAGCGCCACTCCATTGTGTCGGTGGGTCAGTTCAGGCCAGAGAAGGATCACCAGCTCCAGATCAGAGCATTTCGCAAACTGCTAGACAGGAAAGGGGACGGCCCAGGGGGGAGAGAGTCTCTACGGCTGGTGCTGATTGGCGGATGCAGGAACCAGGAGGATGAGGAGAGGGTGTTGATGCTGCGGGGACTCTGTCAGGAGCTGGGCATCGCCGACTATGTCGAATTCAAACTTAATATCCCCTTTGAGGAGCTGAAGAGAGAGCTGGTGGACGCCACCATTGGTCTGCACACAATGTGGAATGAACACTTCGGCATCGGTGAGGACAGCATGTGTTACTAAAACCGTAAAAAGTATTTCTTTTTCAATAGTACTTACTACACAGTTTTCCACAGAAATGACCCAATGAAAAACTTAACAGTACGACTTTTGTATCAGATCAGCCGGTCTGAACATTAATCCTCCATCTTTGTCTCCAGGTGTGGTGGAGTGTATGGCCGCAGGCACCATCATTCTTGCCCACAAGTCTGGAGGTCCAAAGCTGGACATCGTGGTGCCGTACGAAGGCAGGCAGACGGGCTTCCTGGCTGACAGTGAGGACAGCTATGCAGCTGCCATGGAAACCATCCTGTCGTTGTCACCAACCGCTCGACTGGAAATGCGCCGTAACGCCAGGGACTCTGTGGAACGATTTTCCGACCAGGAGTTTGAGTCTTGTTTCCTGGCTGCCATGGAGCCTCTGATGGGTAGTCTAGAGCGATGAGTTAAAACAGATGAGGTGCCGAGTCCACCAGGGACCAGAACGTTGTTGGTCTTTTAAATAGTGCTACACACATATATAGGATTGAACAGTGAGGGTCATGTGTATGTTTAAAATGGCTTAAGCTTGAAGGTTTAAGTGTGATGGGGTGGATCATTTTCAGCATAATAATCTCACAAAGCAAGTCAACATCATCAAGACACATTCGGGGTGGACACCCAGAGAAATAATTGGGATGAATAAACAAAACCAACAAAGAGTGTAGGACTGTGCGTGTGTCAAACTTGTGTGAAAGTCTTCAGTGACAGCAGAGCTGGAAGCACGATGATGGGAAAAAAAATCGGGTGAAAAATCACATTCTGTTCACCTCCAAACTGAGTCATGTGTTCATATGACTTTACATAAAAAATTACAAGACACCTTGAGGTTCAGGAAATATCCTCTTTAATCTCATAATTATAGCTATTATTTATGTTCTCTGTCATATTTGCTCCAGGAACAATTTAGGCAATCCGGAGATCACCTGGGTTTTGTTAGGATGTGCAACAATGGACACTCATAAAAGCTAAAAAAAAAGACAACAATAAGGTGAGGTCATCGGAAGGTAAAGCTAGGTAACAATGAAAAAGAACATTAACGGAGTTCTCACATAAAGACGAGAGAGGTGTTAACATTCCCGGATGAACGTTTAATTCCCGTGATTTATTTTCATCCTCATATCTTTACAGTTTCAGATTGGATGTTATCCACATAACTGCTTCGCCCCATATGTGCTAACAACCTTTTGTGATTAGTAAACTAAAAATACAGATCGAATCTGGTAGATAAAACTCACAAGACACATGCAAATCCAACAGCTCTAAAGAGCTTTCACTGTTGGTGGAGCTAAGGCTTCTGTGTTCGTGCTAAGCTAAGCCACACTTGCTGCATCTCTGTGCTGAAGAGAAAACTGATTGTGAGAAAGACCACAGGAACACTCACGTTTCTCAAAATGTATTTCGTTAAATAATTTAATATTGCGGGGAGAGTGACATTCCAAGCTCCAACACTTAAGCGTGTAGAAGTGATTTATGTCCAGTTAATACTGATATAGTTTGATTTTATTTTTTGCAGTGGCGTGATGTTAGCAACATGCTTGTAAATGTACGTGAAGGGAAGGGTGGAAATGTTGTCTGATGAAGAATTTCTTGTAACGCTTTCTGTGTGCACAAGAAGCACTTAAACCCACAGGTTTGTGGTTTTAAACCATGGCCAAAGCACTCTTAATTTAAATGTTTTTTCAGCTGTTGTATTCCTGTTTGTGATGAGGTCCAGGCATGGAAATATTATTATATGTAAAAGGCTGACTAACCTTTATTTTTAAAGATGAATTAGAACTATTTAAGTCTGTCCATGTAAAAAGGCTGTTTGGAGTTTGTTTCACTTGCAAACTGCAATTAAATTAAATAATGCTGCAATAAACGAAACACTTCAGATTTGTTGTGTGCTGCCAGCCTGTTGTAAAAAAAACACACATGAAATAAACGAGACGAGATATCGTGCGCAAAAGTAAAACATTACCAAACATGATTAAAAACTCATCTGTTAAATGTCATATATGAGACCTGTACTATGAAGCCAGTTTAGCTGCTTAGCTGAGTCCTGCGGTCCATCACCATCAACCAATAACATGTCAGTGAAATAATGTCATATTATAGTATCATGGAGTGTCCGATAATACCCATTTGTATTAATTTAGTAGTGCTTTTCCCCTCTTACAAGCCAAAGTGCCTTAAATTTCACAAAAACTCTTGTGCTTTTAATAGTGTATGTTTCCTCACACACACATTCACGTAACTGCACATTATTCAGGCTTAACATCTTATTCCACTGGGCTATTTACTGGAATAGGTTAAAGATAACTGAGAAAGTGTGACTTGTTGTTACGCCAGATAAACAACCTAAATTAACAACAATCCTTCACAGAGTCATGTATTCACATCATGAAAACAATCACTTTTTATTATCAGATTCCAGTTACTCTTACATTTTTGTCCAACTCTCACAAAATCAAAATGTTAAAGTTTGCAGGCGGTTAAGGAGTCTGAGGCTGCTCGTTTGAAGCTGTGGTATGTTGTCTGTGGGACTCAGGCTCAGCAGGAAATACCTTGAACGATCCCGCTTCTTCACTTGAATTCTGGACCTCTGCTTGGATTTGTTGAGGATCTCCAGAGCTCACTGCACCTTCATCCATCTCCTCCTCCATCCTATCAGCTAGTGGTTCGCGTTCCTGCTCCTTTTCGTCTGAGCTCGTGTCCTCCATGACAAACAGGTTCCTCATGGAGTCTGCCACTGCTTCTCTCAGCTCATCCTCTGACTCCTCAAAGTTCCTAATGAGAAAGAGTGGAAAAAATTAACACTTAATGACATGTAAGAGTTTAAAAACAAACACACATTGACCAAAATGTTTGATGTAATTAATTCTGTTGCAGAATTCTGGGTGTGTGTACACTGCTGAGTAAAGATGGGTAGAGGCTTTTCGACTCGCTGCACATTGTGGCTCAACCTCTGTGTAGAAATGTGACTAAAAATATGAAGCATTGCAAAAATCATTGCTCAATGTAAAAAGTAACTTTGTTGTCTATAATACATTCATATCTTATATATCTGGTATTGTTCTATTCCCCCCTCTGAAATTCAGAGACATGTAAAGCTCTGCGCTGTTACATGAATCAGTAGCACTGACGAGCAATTTTTGGTGCATTTTTTCACTAAATTCTTCTGGAATTTGACTAATGTGTCCAAAGTTATAGTTGACAATCTGATTCTCTTTCATTTAATCCTCTAATTCAGGGGTCCCCAATCCCAGTCCACGAGGGCCGGTGTCCCTGCAGGTTTTAGATCTCACCCTGGGTCAACACACCTGAATCACATGATTAGTTCATTACCAGGCGTCTGAAGAACTTCAAGACATGTTGAGAAGGTAATTTATCCATTTAAATCAGCTGTGATGGATCAAGGACACATCTAAAACCTGCAGGGACACCGGCCCTCGTGGACTGGGATTGGGGACCCCTGCTCTAATTTCTGTACAATACTGTAATAAACTGATATCTGATAACTGTAACTCCATCTGGTTCAGCTCACTGTGGCAGCATGGAGTAAAAATACGCAGTATATTTAGAATGTGAACAGAAGGAAGTGTTGACTTACGTGTCATCATCATCTGACCTCGGCTCCAGACGCTCTTCATCCATCTCCACATCAGACTCCTCCTCTCCTTCACCATCCCTTTCCTCCACTTTGTCCGGGTTAATTTCCTCCTCTGTTCCGTCCTGCTGTGTCTCTAAATCTTTTTCACATTATAGACATTCCAGGACCACTGAGAACAGCACATTTCACCCTTTACACTGCTGGTTTCAACACCCATCAGATGTGAGTGTGTGATGTCTCACCTGTGGCCACTGAATCTAGAGTTGATGATGTGAGCTCAGCCTGAGCCAGAGCTCTCAGCAGGGTGTTAGGGGGCTCGTCAATCCACTGCCTACGACCTGCCACTTCCTCACCTTGTCCAATAGATCGACATTATTCAGAGAAGCAAAAACCGACTAATTGTAATAAACATTTTGAGCATCACCACCCAGCTGTTCTGTGGGTATGCTGCACCTTGTCCAGCCTCGACCGCCGTGTTGTAGACTGAGTTGATGTCCATGTTGCCGAGCGCGTTCAGCAAAGTCTGAGGAGTCCTGTTGCTCCACCCCCTCCTCCCCTGTAGCCAATCCTTGAGCTTCAGCTGTGCTCCTTCCTGGAAGGACAGAGTTCGATTCAGTGGATCCACTTCCTGCATGGAAAAGGAACGTAAGAGTGAGAAGAAGATTGGCAGTTAGAAAGATACTAAAGACTATATTTATTATATTTATATTTATTTAATTAATTATTTCACCTTTTCTTTTATTTGGCTTTGATTGATATCTTGTGTAATTTTATTATATAGTTCCTATGTACAGCACTTTGTGTCAGCTGTGGTTGTTTTAAAGTGCTTTATAAATAAAGGTGATGATGATGATGATGATATCTTCTGTCTCTCACCTGGTCATCCTGTTTTCTTCCTTCCTCTTCTTTCTCCTCCTCCTCCTCGTCTTCCCTTAGCTTTTCATTATCTAATCGGATCTCAAACATGATTCCCCTCTGTAGACGTCACAAACCCCCAAAAAGAGCAAAAGATACAGTAGTCTTCAGTGCTTCAGATGTGTCAACAACTTAAATGCCACTGTTGAATCTGGAAAGGTCTTCAATATTCAAATAGTTTGAATGCAGGTATACAAGTAGAATTACTGGACTAAACCTCTGCAGAATTGTTTTTGTTGGTATAAACTCACTTTGTCTTTGTGTTTTCTCTCCAAAGCTCTCATCTGGTCTCTGTTCTCCTCTCTGATCTGCCTCAGAGCTGCTTCAACATCCTGCAGAAACCAGACACAGAGAAAACTACAGTTATGAATTCTTCTGTAGAATGAATATTGTATCCCTAAATATGTGTGCAAACACTACAGTGATTGCTTTAAAAATAAAGCAGAATATACTGTCAGAGTATGGTTATAGGGTTGTAATAGTTCGTGAAGATAATACAGGTATATGCCATGCAGCCACAGGGTGTGATTTGCAAGGAGAATGGACCTTTAATCGATCTACAGTACAAACAACACTTTGTGCACTGGCAACGCTTTGATAGTTGAAATGATATTGCAAAGACGTGAACAATCTGGATTCTGTTCTGTTCCAACTTGTTGTTTCAGAGTCAAAACTATTACATTATTAATATAAAAAATTAAATAAAAAGATTTAGAGTGTCACATTTTACAGGACATTCAATACAAATATTTACAGTGGGTGTCCAACGCATGCCTGGTCATCTACATCAGCATTCCCTAAAAAGGTGAGATCTATAGTCTCGTATTTCATTCCATTGTATTCATTCAGTTATGCACGGTGTCTGCTGTCTCACATCCTGCAGTTACAAAGCCTTGATGTGAAGAAAGGCTACAGTTTGTTAGTTTGGCAGCTGATGGCGACGCTGCTGCGATGGGCTGTTAGAGAGGAACGGTCAGTGGAAAGACCAACCCTAACTTGACCATCATACACTGCATTCACAAGTTAGAGCCTGCAGTCCATGATGGTGCAGAACATGTTACAGAGATATTTTCACATATTTATGAAGTGTTTGTTGCTGGTCTGAATAAATGTAAAGCCTTGCCCCTTTTCCTCTCTGGAGGTTTGCATATATGAGTAAAAGAGGGGCACTGCACTGCAAATATCACGCTACAGGAAAGCAGAAAATTAACTGGCCTCTGAAAGAAATTAAATTAGCTTTAGAAAATTGCTTTATATTACTAAAATATCATCAATATGAAGAAAGTATTTGTGATTCCTATCCAGTAATCTATTTCACCAGTGCAGGTGCTGCTTCCTGGGGCTCTTTGTTGTCGACAGATGGTTCTATGTCCTTGGATTGCTCCAACACAAAGGTCTCGAGTTTGTGTTGTGGCCTGGCCTGAAACATGACAGGATGAAAATATGTTAATGCTCTTCATTATTGACTGAGAGTTGCTATTATGTGTATTTTCTGCAGAAGGTTGATTCAACCTTTGAAGTGACCCAAAGTGTAAAAGGGTAAGTTCAAGAGTTCAGGAGTTTGTACGTACCTCTGCTTCAGCTCTCATCCTCATCTGTTTCATCTCCAGGTGATATTGCTGTCTAATGAGATCGAGCTGACGCAGGTACTCCTGCAACCACACACACACTCTAAAAGCTACTAGAAAACATTCCTAGGAGAGTTTTTCTGCATTTCTTTATTTCTGTAAACACATTTTTGTCCTTCATTTAGATACTAAACATAACTGCTCACTTTAATGGCTGCTGTGTCTTGTGAGTGTGTCCCACCTGCTGACCCCCTTGTCTCTTGTCCAAAGGCATATGTTGGTGTTCAGGTTTGCCCACCTCCTGCTCTTGACCACCAGGCTTGCTGTTGCGCTCAGCTGTACATGGACGCAGACCCTGAACAACAGAAAAGCGAAGGCTAAAGGTAAAAGTGGCTAATCGTTGTGAAAACTGTGCCACTTTCATTTCTTACAGTATAGTCTTACAGGTAATAAACTCTACTGTGCATTAGTACAGTTTAATAGTGAACAGTTTTGATGTACTTGTGTTCCACTACACTAACCACAACACTACAGCTCCGCTTATAGTTAATACACTAATAGAAGAGTAGATATTCCAGCAACAGTGTGTGGAGGCACAGAGCTTAGTCCTACCAGCTGTTTCTCTGCTCTCAGCTTGTAGTCGTTGGCCTCCTGTCTTCTCTGCAGGTATTCATTTCGAGCGGCAGCCACACTGACAGAAGAAGATTAACTGTTACTTTAGTTCAATTCAATTGTATTTATATAGCGTAAAATCACTGAACAGGTGCTTAAAGGTATTTTATATTGAAGGTAAAGACCCTACATGGGTTACAGAGAAAACACCAACAACTAGATCACTGTCTTTGAGTAAGCCTTTGGCGACAGTGGGAAGGAAAACTCCCTTTTAACAGGAAGAACTAGGCTCAGGGCATCTATCATGACCTGTTGGGGTGAGAACAGGAAGACAGGGCAGGACCGTTCTTCTCCCTTGCAAAAAACTCTTATCTACTTGAAAGCTGAACAGCTGCTGACTGTTTTTATGAGTCGCTGCTATTTACATAAAGTGTGCTGCTAGGTCCTAGTATGAGTGCAGTTCCAAATTTATGGTCGTCTGGATGAAGGCTGGTCTAGTTTTGGAGACTTTTCCCTGATGCTAGGGAATCAGAGCTAACCAAGAAGATATTTTACCGTTTTATCCCATTTAAGTACTTAAAAAGAACCTTTAATGGCTGTATGTACAGCTGAAACAAATCATCCATTAATGAAGAGGAACTCAATTGACAGCTATGCTACTGTAATGATAGCTGGATGTACTTTCTATCCTATTGTTTTTATTGGTTGATTTAATTTAAAGTTTTTACAGAAACTGTTTCCTGAATAATTGTTAGCTACAGGTGTACTGGTCTTTGGTCACTCACAGCTGATATGGTTCCACAGAACAAGGAGCAGCTTGGTCTTCACATTGCTCCTTTGGTCTTTCCACAGGAGGAAGAGGAAGAACATCCTCTTTGTTCCTCCTCTGAAAGGCATCCAACTGGGCGTGGTAATGCTGGTAATGGCTGACAGGCTGCTGACCATTAAACCTGTAATTAATATTACATATTATACATGCATGATAAACCATCATCATTAAGTGAAGCTAATGGTTGATTAACCAAACCTGAGATCTGTATCTGTATGAATGATAAGAAACATACAATAGAGGTATAAGAAAGTACATCCTTTCAATTCTAAGGTTTTACATATCAGGACATAACTTGATGAGCTCTGGAGACTTGATGATGATGATTTAAATCAAGCACATTTGATTAGCAGCACATGGCTGCTACTTACCCACTTAATTCCCTCTGCATCAGCTAAGGGTCTACTTTGTCATACACTGCTTCTGCATTTTGGCTTAATTTTTGTTAAATATATAATGACATGGTGTAATTTGTCTATGTTCAAATCCAGTCTGGGGACTTTCTGTGCAGAGGTTACATGCTTTCCCGTGTCTGTGTGGGTTTTCCCTGGGAACTCCGGCTTCTTCCCACAGTCTAAAAACATTCTTGGGTTTAGGCTAATTAGTGATGCTAAACTGGCCATACATGTGAATGTGAAAGTGAATGGTTGTCTGTCTCTCTGTATTAGCCCTGTGACAGACTGATGACCTGTCCAGGATGTACCCCAGCTCTCACTGTATGAAGCTGGGATGGGCACCCCAGTACCCCAACCCAAACTTGAACTGGATAAGCAGAAAAAGGATAGATGGATGTAATATGTCATGTTCATATGAGGCTGCGGCTAGCTATTATAAGCTCTAATTTTTTTTTACAGATCATCTTGAAATAAGATGCACTTAAAGCTGGTCAGGTTACACAGCTGTAAACAGAAGTGTCAATATCAGGCGGGAATAGGACCAAAGGAGTTACTATGCGTTCACATCATTCTGAGCAAACCTTTGGATCCCTGGAAACTCTCTATTGGCTGCTAGTTGTGCTTCTCTACGTTGAGGAGGCTGCAATTACAAACAAATGCAGTATTAATACAACAGAAATACAAGAAAAACTAAAGAACTGTATTATACCGACTGAGCTGTGCTTCCATTGCTTTACTGCAGCTTTGTTAAAAGAACAAAGAATTCCAGTAAAGCAAAAATCATGCTTGGGTGATACGAGCTCTACTCCAAATCTGAAAAAGCACCTACTAGCTAAGTACAGCAGTTCCACACCACTGGAGGTACAGTAGTTAAAAATAAGCTAGCAAGTCAAGCAAGTCATTAACCGCTGAAACTTACAAAGTTACTTTTTTATGGTGGTAATCAGTGAAACTGTGGATATTGTTTCCATGTTATTACTTTATGGTGGGTGGGTGTGTAGGCTTTGAGAGGGACTTTCCAATCTGGTTTAGCAGGCACTCGCTTGTTGGCATTCCCCGGCCTCTCGGCTACTCTAGCCTTCTGAATCTTACCTGGAAAACATGAGAATCTTGAGTTAGAATAACAAGGAGTGGGCTGTTTTTTGCTGTCTGTGAGCACAGAGTCACACGCTGTGATTGTTGTTGATGGTCGCTGTCTCACAGATAAAGTTCACTTTTCTTGGTTTCTGTGTTTTTAATGTGTCACTTTCACACATGACATAAATGTAGGTTTATACGTGTATACAGTGGGGGGGGGGGGGGGTTACTGCTTTGACAGTGCATGCAGTTTTTCATGCACTGCTTTATCGATTAAAAGAAAAAGACTAAACCACTCACACAACAGGTAAAAATAATGTGCAAGTGTTGAGACAAATAAGTTAGGTAACCATTGTGAAGGAGAAAGTGAAAATAAACACCCCCTCAGTGATTTGTCCTTGGGCTGTGCGCTGATGTTATCAAAACACAATGTGAGCCAGGATGTAAGGTGATTACATTTAGTCCAATCAGGTTCCAGCTCTTCCCCAACAGTTACTGAGTGATACGAGCGGACAGGAGTTTCCCTGCAGCTTATCAGATGTGTTGAAGGACAGTCGTGGTGTGGGTAAGCTACCACTGGGTGTCACTACAGTATACACAATTGAAGACTCAGAACAGAACTGAAATTATTAAGAGATTCTCTTACTGCTCTTATACCTGAAGGCTCTGCTGATGTTTATCTAATACAACTCTTAGTGCTTGTACTATAAAAAGTAATGCAAAAAGTTTTGGAAAAAAACACTCCTGCATCATAGACAGTGACTGGAAAGACACCACAGGGAATTATGTTTGATATGTGCACACAGCATACAGAGGCATCCCTACAGCTATGCTTTATGTTCTTTAAATTATTTTGAAAGTAAATTAAAACATATAACCATCAATAAACACATCAGACTAACATCTGAAGCCCCTGAATTCGATCTGCACCATAACAACATGGTCCAAGTCATAATGAACTATCTTGAGCAACACAACAGAAAAAGAAGTACAAGCAGAAGTATTGCAGCAGATGGTCTGGGCTGTAAGGAGTCTTGACCTCAACATCATGGACACAGTCTAGGAATAGAATAGGCAGAAGATACTGACAGAACCTAAATCAGAAGGGGAAAAAAAATCAAAGCATGTTTTCCAGGAGATGTGTGAGGGAAAAAAGCTGCCTTCCAAGTAATTTAAAATTTTGTATTGTAAGTCCAGCTGCACCTGGTGTTTTTGCTGCTCCCCCTCTTGTTTTAACTGGTTGAGACCCCACAGCTTTGTTTCTATGCAACACGGTGTGGCTAAACTCCTCTTGCATCACCTGCTCACACACAAGAAATCACAAAAACAGAAGCAAACCTGCACATTCATATATGTATTTATCTGTCAGAGATTTTTATGACCAAGTCAATACCTGGAATTTACAAACATTTAAACTAACACACTATATCATTTTATGTAATGTGAGATCTGTTTGAATTCATGACCCGTGAAGTTCTGTCTGAAAAACAAAACAATTCCTGAAATCTGAATTATCTAAAATCTCAATTAATCTCAATTAATATTTAGTAATGTTTCAATCTGTTTGACAAATATATTGGGCACTGAAAAAATATTTTAAAATATTTATAACTAAGTAGTTGTTTAGTATTATGCCCATATAGTACTATTTTTTAAGAAATTTGTTTGCTGTGCTTGTATGATCTTGATTGATTGATTGATTGATTGATTGATTGATTGGTTTATGTGTTTGATTTTGTTTCATGAATTAGTGACAGTGCTAATATTATCTTATTCCTAAACTATCTTTTTTATGTTGTAAACATGAACAATTTCCTTTTACTGAGACGATTTGATGACATCAATAATCTGTGAACCAATCCGATTGCAAACCTGAGTATCCAGGTGTTTGCTGATATGTTTCTCCAAAATAGGACGTCGGAGGACTGAAGTGACTGAGGGACGGTCTCGTGGGTTGACCTGAAAAAGAAAGAAAAAAAATGTTTGCTTTCATGTGTATGCACAATTAAAGTACAAACTCAGCGCTTCCTGGGAGATCCAAAGGTATTTTTTAGCAAAGACACACCATCTCGGTCTACCAATGCAGTCTCTTTCCTGTAGGAAGCATCCAGACTAGCTGCTCCAAAGTGACATCTTGGTCGCATGACCAAACCACTTCAGATATTAGCCCAAAGGAGCAGTTGTTCTACTCCCTGCTAATTACAGTCTGACTCATTACTAATTAAGTCTGAGTCAAAAGACCAGCTTCATGTTCATACTTGTTGGTTTTGCACACTTGTTTATCTAACTCATATCCACAGACCAAATGAAAAACCTGGAAGTGACATGAGAGTGTCTGACCTTAAAGAGCTGGGTGACCAGCAGGCGTAGGTCGTAGGAGTAGCGGCTGGGTACTGGGCTGTAGCGCCCCCTGCAGATTTTACTGACAAGCTGTCGCAAGCTGCTGGCCTCAAACTGCAGGAGACAAGTCGACACAGGCACACACAAATACCCCATGGGATATATATATGCAGCACACAGAGAGTTCATGTAAATGTCTCTACTTTGGACGACCAAAACAGATTCTGTGTCAGTTTCCTATTCGGTCTAATTCTGATTCTCTTACTGCACTCCTACACAGAGGCCAGCATTGGCGTAAGTGTTAGCATTAAGACAGCATTAGTGAAGCTGAGTGTGTGAAGCAGCTTTGGGTGTGCAGGGCGTTGGGCATCTTACTGGATGTTTTAGGGTACAGAGTTCATACAGGACACACCCCAGAGACCAGATATCCCTGCAGGAAGGAAACACACACACACACACACACACACACACACACACACGGACCAAGGTTAGAAGGAAAGATTTCAAAAGCAATCGGACATTTTAACCACATCAACTTTCTAGTGAGACATAGACTTTATTACAAACCACTCTCACCTCAGTGTTGATTTTTGGGGGTTTTATTTACTAAAGTGTGTTTGCAAAGCATGTTAAATTATTATTTCTGATACACCTCACCTGTATAACTCAATATTTCCTTGTGAAACTTAAGTTTCCAGTCCGCTTGAGCTGAACAACACCACAATCTTAAGAGCACTGAAGCAGCTAATCAGAGCATAGCTGCCAATAGTAAAAATTCTTTTCAGGCATTTGCTTTCTTGGCTCAGAGCCAAGCGTGGGTGTGGGGTGTTTGTCCTCTCGCAGTTTGGTGGGACCTTTTAAGCGTTGAGAAGTTAAAGGCATTTCTGTCTTCTTCTGAAAGGACAGCTTAGGAGTTTGGAATTAGTTCATGTCAGTAGGGGTGTCAGCCATGAAAACTCTGTGTGTGTGTGTGTGTGTGTGTGTGTGTGTGTGTGTGTGTGTGTGTGTGTGTGTGTGTGTGTGTGTGTGTGTGGGAAAGAGGAAGGAACTTTGACCTCAGTTGTATCAAAATAAGACTGCAGAAGAGTGCAGCAAAAACACAAAAAAGAATGGAGGAAGGACGAATCATCAGCTTGAGATGTTGCATGTGTGAGTTTGCTTTTGGCAGGCCTGTATGTGTCTCTCTGTGTATGTGTTTCAACACATTGACACGAGTGAAGGTGCTGCAGCCTGAGCAGATCATGACTGGAAGATTACAGCACCGTGCTCTATTATTACACCCACAAAGCTAATCCACAGCCACAGGTTCTAGCAGGGAACCTCCTCATTCTGGCCTCAGCTATTTGTTTAAACCCTCCCACATCCAATCACAGCTTAGTCCCCAAAAACAAGGTGTAGCAGGGATTTCAAGATCACAATGATTTCACCAATGATTTCCTGGAACAAAAAAAGGTTTTAGGCTTCAGTGGCTGATTCCGTGTGATGCACGCTGCATACTTGTGTTGCGGTTTCCTCAAGATAAAGATGTCTTAAAAATAAAAGTCAATTTTTGAGACAGTAAATTTTAAAACAGAGCAATTTAAAAACTGTGTTCTTCGAAAACTGTGGGCCTTTAAGGATAATAGTTTTAAGGGTTAGAAGGATTTTTTACTTTCAAGAGACTGAAAAACATAGCAGAGGACTGCAGGGGACTGTACTATGAAGAAGGAAGTTTGTACTATGAGGTTTTCCTGTACTCCAAAACAACTCAAAAACCTGGGACCAAAACTAAGAAAGATGATAAAAACTACATTGTGACATACTGTTTCATACTACAACATTTAAAAAAGCAAATATTCACATATAAATTATCAGAAAATTCTTTTTATGTAGTTTCCTACATAAGCTGCTCCTAATAAACAGACTTTACACTCTGGCTCCACTGCTAAAAAAGATCAAAGTTAATGACAGATCAATTTATTTGTGCAGACATTTAGATGTCTGGTTTCAGAGCTGAACACAACTGGAGCTTCAGCCCCACACATGTGAGGTACAAAACAAAAACACAGTTTTACCATATCTGCTCTATTTTTGTGCCCCTCCTTTAATTGGTTTGTATAACTTTTTCTTTAAACATTAAATTGTGGGCACAACAAGCCTCTGTAGCTTATCATGGAATAAAATAAATATCCAAAAAGAGGTTATATTATGGAGCTTACTGGTTGCACAGGTATAACAGAACAATCTGAACAGTATGATATATATATATCATACTGGCAACCACACATACATACGTCTTGTTGTTATAGGGCCGATTCTCACAGATCTCTGGGGAGAGGTAGTACGGTGTCCCAACACAGGTCCTGGCCAGCTCCAAGGTACTACACAATGTACAGAAACAACACTATTAGGATAAATAAATTAACTGTAAATACAAGTTTATATGCATGCTATCAAAGAACATACACTAAATTACTAGTGGTCTCATAAAGCAATATGGGTGTTTTTCATACAAATGTTTTTTTAGTAAGGGCACTCAGTGAAAACAGTTGGTTGAGGCAAAGTCTTGAAGGAAGCATTTGTTTTTGTTTTTTTGGTCAGCCATGTAAGATGGAAGTCATCATTAGTGGTGACGAGAAACATTAAATATATGTTCTGGAGAAAAGCAAATGAAATGACTTTCTGGAAAAATGTAAACACAAACAAGACCAAACATAACTTTAAACTGAAGCTCCTTTTGTCAGTGAGTCAAAATGTAAGAACATGAAGCTATGAACCTAAGTGATCAGGAAAATATGTATCATAAGTTATCTAACTGGCTAATTAGATTGTAGAAAACTTGTTTCTCTTCTTTACAAAGACTAACACGTAAGTCTGGTGTTTATTTTTTAGCCATTTTCACCTGCTCACTGGTTATTTTCTCTTTTATGAATTGTTTTTATGGGAAAATCCCAGTAGATCATCAGATTTTGAGGTGCACCTAACAAAGTGGTTGGTGAGCGTATATTCACCAGTAATTGGGACACGGTGTTTAGACCAGTGTTTGTGTGAATGGGTGAATTTAGCATGTTGTATAGATTGTTTTGAGTACTCCAGGAGAGTAGAAAAGGGCCATATAAGAATAAGTCCATTTACCGTACATTGCCTGCACTGAGATTGAAGAACTGGATTATCAGAGCAAACTCTGCTGTTAGAAAATAAATCATATGTAAATGCAAGTTTTGCAAAAGCTTTAATATAAGAGCTTTTAGCCTTCTCCCCTATCCGTCTAATGTGAACCATTACTTTAATTATCTGCTGTATTTTGTTACTGGGGAAAAAACGAAAAACACATTCGAGTTAATTGGCAACTAAGCTTAATGGACTGCCATTAAAGAAGCATGGTTTGCACAAGTAATAGCATTTTATAGGCTATTCTATATTGTGCTGGGAGCCAAACAGAGTGCTTTCAGCCCTGGGGTAATATGATGACATTTCCTGGTACCTGTTAGGATTCTGGCTGCTGCATTGTGAATGAGCTGAAGTCACCCTACTGATGATTTGGATAATCTGGCAAACAGAGCATTACAGTAATCTATCCTACTCGATATGAATGCATGGACCAATTTCTCAGAGTCAGTTTGAGACGATATTGATGCGATTATCAAAACTGAAACCCAGAATGACTGAAAGACTCCAGACTTGCTCACTGAGAGAGACAGAGTGGATAAATACGAAAGCATTTTCTGTCTCTGACTTTTTGGAAAAACAACAAATATTTCTGTTTTGTTTCTATCCAGCTCTAGAAAACTTTCCAGACATCAAGCAGTTAATGTCATCAGTGCAGCTCATTAGTTTGTGAATGGAGGTTAGTTCATCAGAGGAAAAGGATAAGCACAACTATGTGTCATCTGCATAAGAATGGGAGGATATCTTATGATTCTTCGTGATAGTATCAAGTAGGAGTACGTAAAGGTTAATCAGCAATGGACCAAGGACTGAGCCTTGAGGATCCATCCATCCATGCAATCAGGAACCTGACCTGGTAAACCCACTGTGTCATGAAGCCTTTGAATTAGAATGTCGTGGTGCTGAAAGCAGGAGTGAGTTCAGATAGAACTAAAACTCAGACTCTTTGTGAGCCATTATTGATGTTTATTGATGTTCTTTTTATTTTTTAACAGCCCTCTGTATCTTTAGCACCATTATTACATCCATACAATATTGATTGTAAATAAGGTTAGTACGTTGTTAAAGCAGGCCATACAAAAGGCGTCATACGTTTTTGTGCTCTGAGTGGATTTGAACCCTGATTGGTACTTATCATAAAGACTGTTAAATATATATTTACTCAGTTGTTTGTAAACAAATTTTCCAAATTTTGTGAAAGGGAAGAATAAAATATTAGAAAAGGGAAATTATGTCAATATTATTTTTCTTAAATAGTGGTGTGATTATTACATATTTTAGAGAAACAGGGAAGATGCCAGTATGTGGAGAACTATTGATACTGACTAAATGATTTGTAAAACATGAGCTACAAATTTGAATAGTTTCATGGGAATGGAGTCAAGGAACAAGGTGTAGGACTTGATGAATAATTCCTTCCTGATCTTTAAAATTTAAAGCTGAGAATATGAGGCAAATTACTGTAACAGACTAAGATATTACCTATGATATCATGAACATTGCTCTTGTAGAAAGAAAGAAATTTGTCACATTTATTTATTGAAAGAAATTCAGTTGGTATGGTTTTGGAGAGATTAAGTAGTTTGTCAGTGGATGAATATAGAAAAGCAGTATTAAACTGGTTTTCAGTTCAGAGATGTAGAGTTGTCTGGCTAATTTAATTTTGTGTATCAGTAAAATATATTTTTATAGAATAAAAAATTAATTTGTAGTTATTTTTTTTTTCTGTATTTTCTCTCAGCTCTCCTGCAAATCTATGAAAAACACCAGATAGTGATCTTGAAGTGAAGCTAAAGTATAAATGAATGTCAGTCGTACAAGTGGAAGCTGGCTGAACTCCTACAAAGCGTAAATCAAAACCTGCTGGTGGCTCTCATGAAAATCAGTCAAAGAATATTCTTCGGCATCAGGACTCATTCTCTGCGAGCCATGATTTTCTGCCCAAATGTTCATCAAACGTCCAATTGCTGAAACATTTTAAACATGTTTGCTATTTTCAGTCATGTCTAAAAATTATTGCATGCACAGACTGTTATTTACAGGACATGGATGTGTTTTTATCATTCTCTGCAAGCAGCCAAAAAAACTACAGACAGACCATTATTTCCACAGCCATTTGTTTACATGTCCGGGACGACGGTTTGTGGAATGATAATCAGTTGTTTGGAAGTCATCCATGTTTTACAGAGGGCTCAGCGACAGACAGCTGCACTGTCTGTGTGTGTGTGTGTGTGTGTGTGTGTGTGTGTGTGTGTGTGTGTGTGTGTGTGTGTGTGTGTGTGAAGATGACACTGACTTACTTATTCAACATTCTTGCGATTCCAAAGTCACCCAGCTTCGCTTTCATCCCTCCGTTGGTTAGGAAGATATTCTAGACCAGAGGGAGAGCAAGAATGAAAGGATGTCTGTGTTCAACAAGGATGGCACTAACATTGTGTGTGTGTGTGTGTGTGTGTGTAAACGGATAAGACTGATGATAGACAGTGATGGCCATGAGTAGTCTGTGGTCAGTTGTTTTGAGATATTCTTGGAGCTGGCATACAGCAAGGTCTTTGTTCAATGCAAAGCTGACCTCAGGACAGTTCAGCTGTACAATACTGTGCAATGATAACACTAGATAATTATAAAACTCAACCTCAGTCTCTGTGGGTAATGTTTACCACGTAAATGTCCAATAATGAATATAATGCATGATGTAAACTCTGCATTGTAAAGCTCAGGTAAAGTGATGGTACTTGTTCAGTTTGGTTCTGACAGGTGACTGTGATCACAATCCTTGTCTTTAAAAATGATAATCAGACTTACATTGGTTGTTGTCAGGACACAGACTACAGAAATAAATAACAGGTCTCGTGCATTTCTTTCACATCTTAGTCCAAAATCTATATGTAAATCATAAAAACATATAACTATTCATGAGGAGGTGAATGCATGTGCAAGTTTGATCACTATTATTTGAAAAAACACCATTACTATATAAGGCCACCTGTTTTGTGTAATTTGTTGAAAAGTTCAAAATAGTTTACAAATACTGAACACAGACAGAACAGCTTGTTTTGAATGAATTAGCTTTATATGTAATTGCAGGCTGTAGTGAAGCAGGTTAAATACTTGAGCTTTGATGTCTCTGTGGAGAATCTTCCGGTCATGGATGTGTTTGAGGCCCAGACAGATCTGAACAAACCAGTCGACGATCTAAGAAACATGCAACTGTTTTATTACTGTGACATTTTCATATGGATAGAGAGCAAATTACCACCTAATGAAGAATATAAATGAAAACCTCCACAATTAATGTTCTGATTAGGCATAACATTGTGACCACCTGCCTAATATTGTGTTGGTCCCCCTTTTGCTGCCAAAACAACTCAGCCTAACAACCCATCGAGGCATGAAGGTGTGCTGTGGTATCTGTCAGCAAGATGCCAACAACAGATCTTCTAATTGTTAAGTTGCAAGGTGAGGGCTCCTTGGATTGGACTTGTTTGTCCAGCACATCCAGATGTGCTGGACAAACTTTGATGCCTCACAGAGACATCAATGTCCAATTGGTTTGAGATCTGGGGAATTCCGAGGCCGAGTTAACATGTTAAAACCCTTTGTTGTGCTCCTCAAACCATTTCTGTAACCATTTTTGTTTTGTTGCACATTATCCTGCTGAAAAGGCCATCCGGGAGTACTGGTTCAATGGTGCGGTTGGTCTGCAATAATGCGTTGGTAGGTATCTCATATAAAAGTAACATCAACATGGATGACAGGACCCAACGTTTCCCAGCAAAACATTTCACAAAGCATAACACTGGTTTGCCTTCTTCCCATAGTGCATCCTATTGCCAGGTGTTCGCCCAGGTAAGTGAGTCACACACACCCGGGCAGCCACATGAGGTAAAAGAAAACATGATTTGTCCAATGAGACCCCGTTCTTCCATTGCTTCATGGTTTAGTTCTAATGCTTACGTGCGTATTCCTGCCACTTTCGGTGGTGGGCAGGAGTCAGCACGGACACCCTGACTGGTCTGCAGCTATCCAGCCCCACACACAACAAACTGTGATGCTCTATGTATCTACAGTGGCTTGCAAAAGTATTCGGCCCCCTTGAACTTTTCCACATTTTGTCACATTACAGCCACAAACATGAATCAATTTTATTGGAATTCCACGTGAAAGACAAATACAAAGTGGTGCACACGTGAGAAGTGGAACGAAAATCATACATGATTCCAAACATTTTTTACAAATAAATAACTGCAAAGTGGGGCGTGCGTAATTATTCAGCCCCCTGAATCAATACTTTGTAGAAACACCTTTTGCTGCAATTACAGCTGCCAGTGTTTTAGGATATGTCTCTACCAGCTTTGCACATCTAGAGACTGAAATCTTTGCCCATTTTTCTTTGCAAAACAGCTCCAGCACAGTCAGATTAGATGGACAGCGTTTCTGAACAGCTGATCTTGCCACAGATTCTCGATTGGATTTAGATCTGGACTTTGACTGGGCCATTCTAACACATGGATATGTTTTGTTTTAAACCACTCCATTGTTGGCCTGGCTTTATGTTTAGGGTCGTTGTCCTGCTGGAAGGTGAACCTCCGCCCCAGTCTCAAGTCTTTTGCAGACTCCAAGAGGTTTTCTTCCAAGATTGCCTCGTATTTGGCTCCATCCATCTTCCCATGAACTCTGACCAGCTTCCCTGTCCCTGCTGAAGAGAAGCACCCCCAGAGCATGATGCTGCCAAACATAGCGTCTTGCATTTTGGCCAAAAACTTCCATTTTGTTCTCATCTGACCAGAGCACCTTCTTCCACATGTTTGCTGTGTCCCCCACATGGCTTGTGGCAAACTGCAAATGGGACTTCTTATGGTTTTCTGTTAACAATGGCTTTCTTGTTGCCACTCTTCCATAAAGGCCAACTTTGTGCAGTGCACGGCTAATAGTTGTCCTATGGACAGATTCCCCACCTGAGCTGTAGATCTCTGCAGCTCGTCCAGAGTCACCATGGGCCTCTTGGCTGCAAACTCCTGTGAGTTTAGGTGGACGGCCTTGTCTTGGTAGGTTTACAGTTGTGCCATACTCCTTCCATTTCTGAATGATCACTTGAACAGTGCTCTGTGGGATGTTCAATGCTTGGGAAATCTTTTTGTAGCCTAAGCCTGCTTTAAATTTCTCAATAACTTTATCCCTGACCTGTCTGGTGTGTTCTTTGGACTTGATGGTGTTGTTGCTCCCAATATTCTCTTAGACAACCTCTGAGGCCGTCACAGAGCAGCTGTATTTGTACTGACATTAGATTACACACAGGTGCACTCTATTTAGTCATTAGGGATCAGGCAATGTCTATGGGCAACTGACTGCACTCAGACCAAAGGGGGCCGAATAATTATGCACACACCACTTTGCAGTTATTTATTTGTAAAAAACGTTTGGAATCATGTATGATTTCGTTCCACTTCTCACGTGTGCACCACTTTGTGTTGGTCTTTCACGTGAAATTCCAATAAAATTGATTCATGTTTGTGGCTGTAATGTGACAAAATGTGGGAAAGTTCAAGGGGGCCAAATACTTTTGCAAGCCACTGTATGTAACCAGCATTAACATTAAGCAATCTGAGCTACAGTAGCTTGTCTGCTGGATTGGACCACACAGCCCAGCCTTCGCTCTTCACACGCATCCATAACCTTGTAGCTGGTTCACCACTGTCCCTTCCTTGAACCACTGTTGATTAGGTACTGACCACTGCAGACCAGGAACACCCCACAAGAGCTGCAGTTTTGAAGATGCTCTAACCCAGTCATCTAGCCATCACAATTTTTCTCCAAACCTTACACCTTGAGGGCTCTTGCTCCCTAATATATCCCAGCCACTAACAGGTGTCATGATGAAGAGATAATCAGTCTTATTCACTTCACCTCTCAGTGGTCATAATGTTATGTCTGATCGATGTGTGTTTGTACTGTTATTTCTTGCGTGCAGTAATAACAGAGACTGAATGTCCTTCAGTGTGTTTGTGAACATATTTCAGTGCAAAACTATCACAGTGAGGAAAATCTGATCAGCCTTTATCAAATAGCTAAGGCCAGGGTGAGGTATACCTGCTCCTCAGTGAAAGGAACTCCTCTCTGTATGTTGATTTTCTTCATCAGATCTCCTCCGTCACAGTACTCCATCACTATATAAAGGCTGCCTCTCTCTATACAGACATCCAGAAAACACTTTAACACTGATATAAACTGATACATTACATCTTCTACTCTGAAGCCCACACATACCTTGAAAGGACCGGATGAAGGTGACAATGTTTGGATGTTTCATCTTTGACAGCAACGTCACCTCTTTATTGGATGATTCCTTTTCCTTTGCTGACATCTGAGCAGCAAAACACACAAAAATAAAAGGAGTAATGTGTTCTTGGGAAAAATACTTCTAAATAAGCACTAAATATAGTTTAGAATTGATCACTTGAGCTCTAATGGTTTTATCTGGGCTGCAACTAACCATTCATCATCAGTGCTTTTCAATGTAAGTATATTATTTACTGAAGTTACTCTTGTAACAAATAACACTTAAGCAACACGATTTTTAGCTGAGAGATGTAGAATGTCTCAAGGGCTGTAGTGACATACAAAAGACATAATCTAATGTACACAGTGAGAAAGACAGCTTATTTAAGACTTGTCTTAGTCTATACTGACTGCAGAATATGAGTTGTTTTACCATAACCTGATTCTACTTCAAATTAAGCTGGTGCCTGTATATTAGATAAGCTTAGTTTGTGCTTGAAGCATACATTACAAAGCTGAGACACTACAAAGCTGCTTGAATGCATGTGTAAGTCACAGAGAGCAATATAGTGTGATCGTTTTCCTGATCCCAGGCAGCACTGCAGGTAGTGAAACTGAGCTATGCTGCTGTACCTTCCTGAGGCTGATCTCTTTGACCACACACTGTGTGTTTCCACCTCCCCCTTTGTCTTTGACCAGGAAGGCTTTTCCAAATGCACCCTGCCCAATCTGTCTGATAACCTCATAGTCGTTCATTGCCCCTGGAAGACAATATGAGGGGCAAACAGTTTAGCTGATGAAACACAAACTCACTGAGACTGAGTAATAATGGAAAAAAAAAAAAGTAAAATAGTAAACTTTTTGTTCTCATTTTAAAAATTAATGAAAATGTTAAAACGGTGGTAAAACAAAATAAAATAAATGCGTGTAAGCTATTTGCCTATGCCCTCGCCTTAAAAAAAACGAATCAGTATTATTAACCCTTTCATGCATGAATTATGGAAACCTCAATCAGGATTTTTTCTTTTGAAAGTATTTTTATTCATCTTTAGGGCATGAAAAAAGATTTTTGAACTTCATTTTTTTTAAAACATGTACTATTCAAAGAATTTTTTACATGTCCACGTAGGTGGAAACCTTGCTGACCAGTGGGTGGCAGGGTATGGAGCGACACATCAGTGTCCAATGTAGTGGTTTATGTGCAAGTATACCATCAACACTGACACAAATACAAGAAAACAGACTTTGAATAGCTGTCCACTGTTGTGACCACTATGCGTGACAGGGTTAAACAATTTGGAATAAGTTTAAACAACTATTAACGCCTTCATTTTTCTTAATTATTAAGTCGCCGTCGAACACAGACGGAACTAAGGCCGTTGCCATGGAGACTGAAACACAGTCTACTAGCATTCAATTTAGCACGTTTAACACAAGTTCACCAAAGAGGAGGACAGTGCTCACTTTTTCTCTCTTATAGCGACACAGAAGCTCTGCACTTACCCTTTCGAAAGTAGCAAAAGCAGAAGTCACATTGCGAAAGAAAACGGCTGCAAATTACTTATAAAGTCATTAGAGGAAGCGCTTGTCTTCAGAAGTGTTGAACTACGGTAAGCGCGAAAGGAAACCACGCAGAATGCTGGGAGTAGTAGTTTTTGTAGGCGAGTTCGCCATTAGCTTTCGCCTTTATATTTCCCAAGCTGCTCAGCAGTTTCATTTTGTAGTGTTGTGTTACAGCACCTATTATTCATTAATTCATTCGTTCATTTTTATTTGCGCAGTAAACTACTTAAACTGCAACACATTTGGGCCATAAGGGGATTTCTTATTATTATGTTAATGTCAATTATTATTATATAAAAGGTTACCTGTTAAATGTATTTGTTTATAATTTCGTTTAAGTCTAACTTTCAACAGGTTATCTATTAAAATGTTCAAAGCAGCTGTTGCATGTCACTTCCTGTACACTCTAATTACGCCTGTTGCAGTAACCGACCTAGACTCGGTTTTATTTTTACACATAAACAGGACACGGACACAGGAAGATTATTTTCTATTGTTTGCTTTATATTACTTTCGATTACTTGCTGGTATACCTGCATTGTAATGTTATCTAAAAATCTTATGTTTACCTGTATAATTTTGGATGTTTTTTTAAGATAAGAACATTTATTTATACTACGTTTGCGTAGTTATTAAAAATGTTTCAGTAAATAGATGTAGTGGACTGGGTGTCTGCCACTTGGGATCAGAGCCAAAGGCGGATCATGTTTCTCTTGTCAGATTTTAGCATTCACACCCCAGATTGATATTCCAGGCAGCCATCATGTCTGTAGTTATTCATGGTGCGTGTTGCTCCGTCTGAAAAAAGGTGATGTAATCCTCTGAATAGCTCCAATATAAAATGGATCCTCACATCTTCAGTTATGAACGGGGTATTAGGTAATCATATCTCCAATTGTAATGACGGCAAAAACAAACTGATAGACGTGTTCAGGATAGATGCTAGACCTTTGGAAAAATGTGTATTTGTGAATAAATGTGAAATGCAGCAAATGTAAAATACAAATCTCTATATGTACTGTAAAAAGCAAAAATCCCCAAAAAAATTATATATTATTGAAAAAAAAAAAAAGTAGGAACTTTGGTTGTTTAACTATTACTTATTACTCTGGTGTAGTGAGAATAGTTATAGGGGATGTCTTTACCAGTAGGAACAAAACTTATACCCCCCTTTTACATTTCTGAAAGCTGGCCAGTGGGTCTTAATTGAGTCTTTTCAGGGCCAATTCTTGCCCCTGGGCCTTATGTTTGACACCCCTGATGTAGACCCACAAACAGCCTGTAGGCTCCTGTTTGAGGGCCTCAGGCTGGCACAGGTTGGTAAGAGGAAAGCAGCTCTAAAAGACCTAAACTGAATCAGTACAAGCAGGCACAAGTTGAAATTAGCAAACATGAGTGAAACAATAATGAAGGTTTAACACGTAAAACAGACATCAAAGAAATCTAATAGTTTTTCAGTCCAGTATTTAGAGCAGATGTAACTGTACGAACCTCAGCTTTTATGACCTGTCTGCAAACACCTCCCTGCTCCATCAAGGTGACTTTCCATCCACTGCTTTCCCCATGAGCCCCCTGGGTTAGGGCTCTCTTGATTAGTGCTTTAATCATAGACAAATTTCCACCAGGATCCTATGACACACAGGCAGAGAGCCCACTGTGACAGCTGATCTATGTTAGTTCACTGAGGTAACGACTGCATGTGATGACACCGCTGTAAACAGCATGGCCACTGACACTGTCAGTCACATTCTTTATCATGAGTTATGATCTGTATGATGAAAACAAACTGTGTGGTGATCAGTACACTGACTGAAGAAATAATCTGACCTTTCATTAAAGTCAAAGAACCCATAAAAGATGTAGCGCTGATGCACCAGTGTGGCCCACAGTGGGCTGCCACAAACGATTACTTTTGTGATTAGTCGACTAATCAGGTCATGCATCCATTGGACGTAAAACGTACAGCTTATTGCACCAGCAGCATCTGCTCTTATATAACTATCATTAGCTTACAGCTTTAAGTGTTTAAGGTCTGTGCTAACTAAAAATAAAGACAAGATGATAGTTTATTAAATTTTAATGAAATTTGCAGATTGTTTCGGTGAGGTTTAATAAACTCAGCCGTCTGCTCCTTGCTATCTAAAATATAACAGGACACTGGAGTATATTCTCGAGCATCTCACACTTCTGAGAATCAGTTGTCTGCTTGACGTTTATTCAGCTGTGTAAAAACTATAACTTTAATCTCAGCCAAGCCGATTTACTCTTAAATCCTACCAGAGGTGTGGACTCGAGTCACATGACTTGGACTCGAGTCAGACTCGAGTCATTAATTTTATGACTTTAGACTTGACTTGAAATAATGTTGTAAGACTTGTGACTTGACTTGGACTTTTACACCAATGACTTGGGACTTGAATTGGACTTGAACCGGTTTACTTGAAAAGACTTGATATTTTACCCCAAATATAAAATTTAACATGCATATTATATAGAGATTGAAAATGTGACGTCATTCACGGGTAGAACCGCAAAGGATTCTGGGAACTCGTGGCAAGCGGTACTAGCGCACGCAGGCTTTCAATTGAAACCAGTCACACAGCGATAAAAAGAAACACAAAAATGTCAAGAAGCTGTTGTATTATTAACTGCAATAGCTGGTCGCATGACAGCCACGGGAAGCCGACGGGTAAAGAGATCGGTTGTTATCGGATTACGTCGTTGAAGAGAAATTGTTCGAGCCATGTTTCCGAAGTAACAAAGATGCGACTGGATTGCAGCCATTCAAAGACCAATTATAACGTCACAGAACCCTCCAGCTCACAGGTTAGTCTGCTCCAAGCATTTCCACAAAGGTCAGTCTGCTGTTGTAGTTAATGCGTCATTTTTCTTAACATAATTGGTGATATAGGTTACAAGCAAGTCTGGCGCTGAACAGAAATTGTCGCGCTATGCTCCTTTGTTTATTGTGCATAAATAGTGAATTGTCCTGACACAATATTGCGTTTCGCTTCTGTTATTATGGTACACTGACAAAAACACATACTTTTATTCACAGGGTAAAACAATTGTCTTGTATCACTAATTGTCCAGTGCGATTACAGCATACAATATTATTGTCACTGCTACATTTCTGTGATGCTACCAGAAATTATTTCCACTGCTAATTAATTACCGTTGAGCTCAAAGGTCCTATTAATAAACGGTTAAGGAATGTATATTTATGAAGACGATTTGTGAGACTGGTAAACTTATGATACGTACGATGGCCTTTACTTTCTACACGGTGCATTTCAAGGTCCTGCACCCATCCGTCGGTAAACTGTACCTGGGCTTGTTGCAGTGACCGGAAGTTACTAAACTTCATGAGTGTGTGCACTCACTCCAAGAACCGTATGATTATAAATATGCATATAAATATGCTACGATGAGATAGCTGACTTCATCTAACTAGCAAATGTTTTCCAGGCTACGTTGGTGATGCAGTGTTTTTTTAAATTATATTTTTTAAAAAATATCATTTATTTATGTATGATATTTTTGTCATGCGATTTTAAAGCCGGTCCTACAAGCGCATCCAAGAATAACATGCAGCTTATCTCAGAACTGTCGGTGAAAATTATTCTTGGAGCTAGGTTTAATTGAGCTGCATTTTAAAGAGGTGCAATTTCACAATTTGTGTATATTTTCTAAGTTCACTATTTTGTCATGTGTTGAGAAAAACACAGATTTTAAAATTACATGGTCTAATATTTACATTTAGCATAACTGCAACATTATTTTTTTCGTTTTTTTTTTTAAAGACTCGAAAGGACTTGAAATTCAAAATTTCAGACTTGTGACTTTACTTGGACTTTTACACCAGTGACTTGAGACTCGACTCTGACTTGCCTGACATTACTTGAGACTTGACTTGAGACTTGAGGATAAAGACTTGAGACTTACTTGAGACTTGCAAAACAATGACTTGGTCCCACCTCTGAATCCTACTTATTCCTGCGTCTTTTGGGATCTTACAAAGCTTCAAACGATGTGTCGAATATTAAATTAGTCGTCGACGATTTTAAAAGTCGACATAATCGTGACTAGTCGACTAATCGCGGCAGCCCTAGGCACACTAAAATAAACTGCTGGTTTCAAGTAGTCTGATCCTTTGCTCAATAACAGAAATACAGTCAAAATAATTATTAGTGTATATACACCAATTAAAAGTTTATAGGATTTTTCTGAAGCTTCTGGCACAGAAACACACAACACGCCATTTATAGTTTCTACCATTTTCTTTATTCTGTATGTCTGCTTATGTTTATAGATCATATACACAAATTGGTACAAGAAGAGTTATCCAAAAAAAAAAAAAAAAAAAATTACACATTCATAAAAAGACAGACAACCCCTGTGAAAAAGATTTTAATATAAGCGTGTTTTTATTTCTCTGAGCTGTCTTTCATCTGAATGAAAATATTGTGTTCTTCGGTCAGATTTCACACACTTTAAAGCTCAGCAGCAGAAGCGCGCATTTACACTCTTATTTTAAGATCATTTTCCAGTTAAGAAAACAAGTGCAGTGTATTAACAGCTACAGCAGACAAAATACAAAAAAAGTCTTTGTGGACTGAGTGGTATAAAAGTCGCCCTGTCTTAAAATGTTATATGTGAACTGAAAGCAAGGAAATCTCATATTTACCCACGTCTATTAATGAAGAGCTTGATACTATGTTTGCAGTTAATTTGATTAAAATAATTTACTTTTGTATACTCAGCTGGCTGTAAGCTAATTTATCTCTGAAAATAATTTCTGTATAGAAATTGGAAAATAAAACAAAAAACGCAATGCTTCACTTTTTTTTTTTTTTAATTTTAGGATCACTGAATATTCACCCAACAGCATCACATTTCACCACGCTCACTCACTCAAACTACCTGAAGTAAAGAACAGGAAACAATAGACAGGTGCGGATTAAAAACACAATCTCACTGCACGCCAGTGACTTTAAGAGCACGTCGTGAGGCGACGAGGCGTCTTAAGGCTCACAGATCAGGGTTT